GGTCCTTGTTCCGCTAACATCTGCCGTTCGTCTCCTCTGGCCTTCATCAGCTTTGCTCCTCATCCTCGCACGTCCTAGCATCTGTGTCTCACTCGGGGTGCACTCAGCGCCATTTCTGAAGTCCTATCAGAGCACTCTTGACAATCACCCCTTGCTCTGTGGCTCGCCGGTTTCCAATTATACTAACACCCCAGTCCGTCCACCCACCCACCCTGGATTCCCTTCCATCTTCACTTCTTGTCTTCACCATTCTGGGACTCTGCAGCTCAATAAAGTCGTTGTTCCGTCGCCCCACCCTTGGTCCTATCTGCCAAACAGTCCCCAACGTGTACCATCTGGCTGACCGAATGCCTGGGGAAAGACCAAGCTGGCTCCTCCTTTCCCTGGGAACTCACACCTAGAAGTGTGCAGCTATGAAACTGCTTGGGATTCAAGTCTCTCCACTCAGTTACTTCCAACTTTTCATCTCTTTTCCAAACGTCCAACATCCTCTTGTTCCCTCCCCCATTATTAACCTCCTCGGGTATCAATGCATAAAACTAATAACAGCTCTTATCACACATTCTAGCCTCACTCCAGCCATGGTGCAGGGCCTGTCTGCTCCTCCTGCGTTCCTGGGAGCAGTTTCACTGTTACAGATGCAGACTTTTTGATCATTCTCTGAATTTCCATCTCCAGCCTTGACTCTTATATCCTGTTCTGTACAGCTATCTGCCAAATTGATGTATCCACTTAGAAGCCTAATAGATATCCCATACACTGCACAAGTACAAGTCTTTCACATCTCAGTAAATACTACAAAAAGCCACCCAGTTCTTTAAGCCTAGGAGCAAAGAATGAGCAAAGTTTACACTGTCTCTGACATTACCTAGTTTTAATCACTGTCATCTACTTACACTCTTGCTGTAGCTGCTCCCTCGTACCACCTATTCCTCTGTACTAAATTTCAATCCATTCTCAATGGAATATTTATTTTCTTATTGAAAGCATGCACTTAAGCAAGACTATCATGTTTCAATTTATGATCCTTTGAGCTATGTAATCCTAGCACCCTGGGAGGCTGAGGTAGGAGGATTGCAAGTTATAGCCCAGTCTGGGCATCTTAGCAACTTACAAAACCCTGTCTCAAAACAAGAAATTGAAAAAAATATCTGTGGGTTCATCTTAGTGCTCCATTGTGAAGGCTCTGGGTTCAAACCCCCATAACACCACACCTACACACACACACACACACACACACACACACACACACACACACTATGAGTACTTTTTGTTACAGTTGAAATGAAATCTCAACTCTTCACCATGGTCACAAATGCTTTATGTTACAAAATTCTGATATATTCTCCACCCTTTTCGTGCTCTGGCAATATTACCCATCAACCTCCTTGCCGCTCTGATCACCTCTCTCCTCTTGCTCTCTGTATCTCTGCTTCAGAAATTCTCTCTCCTTTCTCCTCTTCTTCTGTTATACTTGCTACAACCCAGTGGACCGGACCACACTCCAAATAAGGCTTTTCTGGCCAACTTACATCTGAGATCAGCATCCTACTCTGCAGAGGACCGTAATATTGATTATGCCCTAGGCAGGCTGTGAAGAGTGAACCCCACAACTGGTTTGTTTACAGCAGTGAGTCTGGCCAAAGCCTACCGACGTCAGGGTAACTCGCACCCAAATCTGTTCTCACAACTAACACCTTCAGAGTAGAAGGACAATGTTCTAATTACAACCATTTTTGTCTATTCTGTTCCTAATTTGAGAATGCTTTGTCTTGTCCTTTATGAGCCTTGTTTACATTAATTTCCATAGAAACCACATGTCACCTTTACCCCAACTGATTGTCAGTAAAAGTCAGTGCCTGGGACTGGCCAGAGGCTCTGTGGGTTGCACCGGCATTGGCTGTCCTGGCACCCTGTTTTCTCTCTTAGTTCTGTCTCTTCGTGTATTTTCTCCTCAGGCCTGTGTTGTGTACTGGGCAGGGGGTACTGGAACCTGACTGCAGGGGTCTCCAGCCCTTCTCCTCCCCCAGACTGGTATTTCCTCATCCCCACATTCATGCCATTCACAGCAATAATCTGTTTAAAATTTTTTCTTATCTATATGTTGTTTTTATTCTAAACTGTAAGCTTCACGAGGGCAGGAATATTGTTTATTCTGCTCAGAAGTCCATGGCTTGTGACATGAGCCATACATATTTCTTGCGGGAACTAATGATGCAATTTAAACTCCTGTTAGATGTGGGGACACTGCATCTGAATAATCCCTGATGTTTTTCCATCAGCTTTGCTGCCAGCTAATTCATCATTGTCTTCTTGCTGGCCATGCTGGAGTCACTGCCTTCTAATCTGTGCATGCTGTTGATGAAGAGATCATTTGGGAAGTCAGGTCAAGTCTACTCCCTGAATAGCCTAATTTTAAAAAATATGTGAGACTAACATGCAGATGCAGATGTTCATATATGATACTTGTTCTTTAGGCCCTTACTGTAAGATAGGTACCACGTTAGGGACTGGGATACACACCATAGTCACATCTATATTCTACCTGTGTAGTTATGCATAGATCTGCATTTCCTTTTCAATATAAATATACATACATTCTCCCCAGACCTAACCAGTCATCTGAATCAGCAAAGGGGATCAGAGCTGCAAACAGATGAAACAAATTACAAGATGAAGAAAAGCTGTGAGAAATGTGTCCTGATTTTGATTGCTGATCCCACAGTCCCAACCCACCAGGTTCTCAGCAGCTTTGGCTGCAGAGCTCCCCACATGACACAGGCTGGTAGATGCGTCATGACCTCACTTGCTGTTGTGGCTGCCTGGTGAGGGGTCTGGGCATCTAGAGCTTGTAGTGGCCGCAGGATGGCCTCGCCTGTGGGCTGCCCTGCCAAGCATTTCCAAGGCTGTTTCCCACCCTCTTCCCAGGCACACAGAACAGCCTACAAGACTTAGAAGAGTGTGCAATGGATGTCTAAGTCACCGTGAAATGCTGAGCACTAAACTGGCCTTCTGGTCACCTTTGCACTCTGACCCCCTTGCCCTTGACTGTCTCGGCGACCTCCAGGGTCTGCACTCGGACTTTGCATAAACCACCTCTTCTAGCCGTCAAGGTTCTTGTCTGTGGAGGGCTCTGTGTCCAAGCTGTGCAGTGCACAACTCCAGGAAGTAGCAGTCCCATGGAAAATTGGGATGTGAGGGTCACTCCCAGCAGGGAGAAACCTGAAGCACTAAGAGACTCAGTAACATCTGTAAGCAGGCATCTCCCACTGTTGGGAAGCTTAACCAGTGGGCGTAGTGTAAGAATATGCCCCCAAGTATTTCCTGAAAATTAGGTTCTTCAGGGAACGGACTCCATTCTGCCTTTATCAGTATTATATAAAGACTGGAAGGCAGAATAGCTCTGCTTGGGTAGCAAGGAATCAGGTGAGCTAACCAGCAATAGTGCGAGGCATGAGAGTTGGCTTAATAAAAAAATATGAGCTTAACAGCGTGCTCTGTGAGGACAGGATTCTGAAGCTGATTGACTCCATGCTTGAACTTGGACCTTGCAACTGTGGCACAATTTATTTGCTTTAGGGCAATTCCCCTCCCCAGACTCTGCATAGCCAGCTCCTAGGAGAGTTCTTGACATATATTAAATACAGATGCTTGGCATATATTTTGGACTCACATTAGCAAATTCAGTTCTACTGGGTTTCAAAGCCCAGGTTGCTTTCCCACTCTACCATGCTGATCTTTTATCCGGGGGGAAAAGGTTTATTAATGTCACAAGCATGGCAATACCACCTCCCAGAAATTTTGTGCAAAATTTTGCGTAGGTGTGACTTTTCTCAGAAGTTGATATCCCATAGTTTTCCTCAGCTCTCCAATGTTCCCATGACCCAAAAGGCTGAGAATCACTATATAGTTTGTATTTAACTGTTGTTCAAGAGGAACAGTTCTCCCAAGCTCCAGAGCTACCGAAGGAGTCTCTGTGGGTAGGGATACAGCTCTGAGTCAATTCTCTGTGCTCCACCCTTTGTCCAAGAGTAACTGTCCTCTACCACCTTACAGGGACACCTGCTGTGTAACGCTGGATTCTCAGGGCCTGGGCCTTGAAACTGTTACTGCATTTCTAAACAAACAGATTTCTCCTCAACTTTTGTTTTTTAATTGAGATAAGATTTATAGAATATAAAATTAACTGTTTTAAAGAATCCAATTAAGTACCTTTTAGTATAGTCACAATATTGTGATAATTGCATCTGTCTAGTTCAAAAATATATAACCCCCAAAGGAATCCACATACCTCTCAGCACTCCCCAGCCCCTGGCAACAGCTCTCCTCCTTTGTCTAGATGCGTTCCCTTTTCCTGGATGTTTCATGTGAATAGAATTTAAAAATCTGTGATCTTTTGCGACTTCTTTCACTTAGCACATCACTGTCTAGGTTCATCCACATCATAGTAAGTATTAATACTTCATTCCTTTTTTAGGGCTGAATTCATATATATATATATAATTTTATCTTTCACCGCTTGGGAGACATTTGCTTGTTTCTAACCTTTCGGCTATTTTGAATAGTGCTGCTGCCTTGAACATTTACATATAAGTATTTGTTTGGATAGCTTTTTTTTGGGTATATATTTAGGGGAGAAAAGCCTTTCCAGCACTGTAACAGAATTTCCAAACATTTATTGTTTATGTCCTTCTAAGTAGCAAAGGAGAGTCACTAATTAGATGTGCCGAAGAGAATTCAATTCACTAAAATCGTCTAGGAGCCCAACGCACTCCTCTGGCTGTGGAGAATCAGTCCTGCTCAGGGAGCCCCGCTGCGCCAGCGCCTGTCACTCCAAACGACACACAACTGCTTGCCTTGAGTCATTTACATAGGAACCTAGACCTAGGCCTCCTTTTTTTTTTTTTTAAAGGAATTCCTTTGCTGTAGACTTCAAAATCTGCCTTCTTTGCTTGCACTTTTTAAATATTTTATCAGAGCTGAAATTGAAAGAAATTTCTAGCGCAGATGGCTGAGGTGGCTTGTGACGCAGGGCGGCAGGGCCGTGGCTAAGTCCTGTCTGCGTGTATGGAGCCGGGCGCCTGTCCGTCTCCAAATGCAGGAGAACCCTGCCCCACCCCAGCCCAGAATGGATGCTCACGCGTGAGGCTCTTTCCACCCTCCCTCTCCCTGCTGCCTGCCGCCTCCCTCCTTGGCTGTTAGGGCTTCCTGAGCTGACTGCTTGGGGGACATGGAGACTCCCAGGAAACAAAAGCAAGAAGGGAAAGAATGGGCTGCAGCTTCTGTGGGCGCGGAGGGCGGAGTCTGGAAGTAAAGACCAGCTCTTCCGCAGCCCTGGGCCGGAGCACTGGGGCGGATCGCAATCCCCAGACGCCGGGAGATCGCCGCGGTGGGTACACACGACGCCCCCTCCCGACCACGCTCTTTGGCGATGTATATAAGGATGCTTCCAAGGTCTGCGGAATGCTGGCCAGTGATTCCTCCATAGGGTGTGTGTGTGTGTGTGTGTGTGTGTGTGTGTGTGTGTGTGTGTGAGAGAGAGAGAGAGAGAGAGAGAGAGAGAGAGAGAGAGAGAGAGTTTGTGTGTGCCAGGGAGAGCGAGAGGGAGAGCCTGTCAGTCTCACCCTTTCGAGTATGGACCTTGGATTTTGCACATGACATTTAGTATGTCCTAAATACAGTGCGTCCTCCCAAACTTTCAGGCAGACACTGCTTTCTGTAATGTGGGAAGTCTGAAAGGGGCAAACCTGAAAACGAGGGTCAGTCGAAATACTTAACTGTACTGACACAGCCCCAGGTAAGTTTAGAATGAGACCATACAGGGCAGTTTTAGCAATACTAGAATCTCTATGCTGATTAAACATTGACATTGCTTTAATTTTTAAATTTCCTTTGAGAAAAGAAAACTACAAATATGTATGAAATAGGTACAACTCTATACAATATACTCCACATATAAGTTTGAAAGAGATAAATTCGCCTTGCAGCTCGCCAGCCTTTGCCTTTGTTGCATGTTTTTCGATACTCCTGTAATGTCTTTAAGCTTTATCTTCCTAACCTAATCTTAGAAAATGAGCAGATTAGCTCAAACTTACTGAAATATAAATGCCTAAAAATTGACTCCCAAGGGTTAAACCTTAAGCCAACATTTAAAAAATTCTGATACTGAAATTTTAACCAAAATCACATTTTATACTTATAAAAGTATACTTTTATACTAAAAACAGTAGAAAGACTGGTGATTTTGCCACAATGTATAATTCCCATGAGTGAAATACTTTGTTCAACGTTTTAATTTATAAATGAATATACCCCAAATTTTGCCAACTGTAGTCACTTAAAATTTTATGGTAAGCCAAAGCTACTTTATAAAAATCTTTTACCCACAGTGGGATCCATGCAATGAAATATAAATATATGTTTAAATTCATTTCAACAGTATCTGTGTTATCAAAAAACCCAGAAACAATATAAATGTTCATTCACAGGAGACCTGTAAAATGGATGAAACACCATACAATCTGTGGTGATTTTAAAGATTGGAATAAAATACACATAGCACAAAATTTACCATGATATCCATTTTAAAGTGATATGTAGCCATTTCAAAATGAGTTGATCTGTGTAAAATAAAATGACAAAACTCCCCAAGATACACTGTTAAATGGAAAATATACAGAGCAGTATGAAAATGTACAGAACAGTGCAGAACAGTATGTCTTGAATAAATCTATCATTTCTCCTTTGCTTTTAAATTTTGTATTTGAAATATGTTTAAAATGAGTACTGTAGCAAACCATAAACTTACTCCTGAAGCTGGCAATTCTCAACATTGGTCGTATTTCCTTCTGTGTGTGTATGTGTGTGTGTGTGTATGTTCGTGTGTGTGTGTGTGTGTATGTTCGTGTGTGTGTGTGTGTGTGTATGTTCGTGTGTGTGTGTGTGTGTGTGTGTGAAGCACATTTGAAGTCCCCTTGTTCATCTCCTGTTTTTACACCTTCATTGCCGTGTGAGAATCATGAGTTTAGCCCCCCCCATTTTACACTTTCTAATACATTTATAAGTAATGTGGATACAGTGTTGTTTTGAGCCTTTTAGACTTGCATGAGTGATCAGGCCTGTTCAACTTGCCTTCTTCTGTCACTCCGAAGCTCCTTTTCTTCAACATTGCTTTTGAATGTGAGTGGCAGCTGTGCTGTTTGTGAGCGGGACACATGGATGCCCTGTTTCTGTGGACAGCTCCCAGGTGGCAGATGGACCCAAGGTGCAGGACTCACCCCTGTGATCAGTAGGAGAGACAGCACTTTGATAACCTCTGAGAGTTTGAAATTTTACTATCATTTAACATTTTGGTAAATAAATAATTGGCTGAAGGATAGAAAACGTTGGCCCTATTCACGTGGGAAGGGATGCAGAATGAACAACATAATACAGTAACAAATAATATCTCGGGCAGGCTATGCAGGTGAGATGCTTCTTGTATGGCAACTCACCACATTGCCAGGTGAAATGGTACCGCAAGGGACAGTGTGCATTACGGTGAAAGCAGCGGAAGTTGTAGAGAAACTATGAGTTTGAGGGGTCGGTGAGCAAGCGGTATTGCAGAGCTGAGGAAACCCACGGGACATCTGTCCAGGAGGACTTGCAGAGATAACAGACAGGCCCACATGTTCTATCTAGAGAGGAAATACATTGGAAACCTGATCTCAGGCCCTAGTTTTGTCACAAGCAACTTACCTCATTTTAGTTTGCTTACCCTTAATAAGATAAGAGAACACAAATTTCTCATTCATTCCCTCATTCATTCTGTGTTAACAACCCCTGGTAGGCATAAGGCTGTGCAGGCACTTTCCTAGGTGCTGGTAGCAGAAAATGGACAAGACAAAGCCCATTCTTCCCTCCAGGAATTGCTGGCCTCCTGGTAGGGGCTGCATGACATTCCAAGGCTAGTTACCCAAATCTAGAGCCAGGCAGAGTGCTTGGGCAGACTGTTGGTGGCCAGGTGGCAGAGAATAAATAGAAGCTTTACTTCTGGGGTCTCACCAAGAGCCTTGAGACCCAAACAGAAAGATCCCACATTTCTTGGACTCGGAAAAGTTCACTTTAGCCCAGGAGAAATAGGTAAATTAGAAGAGCTACAAATGGAAAAGGATATAACATGAAAGAAAAAAAAAAAGATGATATCTGATTGTTTCACCTTGAATCAAGTTAAATGAGGATGTGAAATTTAATCTGAATCCTTGTCATTTGTACCTCAAGGTCTCCCCTTTTTAAATGTGTGAGCTTAAAAATGGCCAATCACACAATAATATATAACAATGGCTTATCTGGAAAAGTGTCACTTTTGAAGGAGAAATCTCCCCTTTCACATTGGTCTTGTCAGGATGGCAACTCAGCAATATCAGGAGTGACATGGAGAAGGTTCTTGTGTGCTGGTGGGAGATGGCACTCTGGGGGCTGTCCTCAGGCTCATCAATGAAGGATTTGTATCCCAGAAAAAGGCCACCAATGTTCAAGATATTTGGAAAAGCAGATTGGCCTGACTGACCTGTGATTGGGTCATAAGGACCATTTATAAAAGTAAATTAATAGCTTGCAAAATGGGAATAATAATAAGTACTTCATAGGCTTTCCATGGAGAGTAATAAATTTTAAAATATGTGAAAATATAGTATGCACTATGAAGAACTCCACAAACAGGAGGCTGCTGTCATCAATCTGTTTGGAGTGCTGAAAAGTTTAGGTCACGGGATTTATAACTGTTGTTCCAACTCCCAGGCTCATGACAAGACACTGCAGGTCCGGCTGGCCCTGTCTGTTCCAAGTCTTGTCCCCTCACAGCCACGTACCCCTCACTCACTTGTGAGAAGGACTGTCATTCCTAGAAGGTGCATTATGTGACCTTCAACAGAGGTCTGGAGTCATCCGGGGGAATAGGAATTTGACAAACTCTAGGAGCAAAATTCAGATGAGTATTTAATCTGGAACACGTACACACACACGCACCATAGGAACTGAAAATGGGCTTTGGCCTATGAAAGCAAATGAAGAACGAGAATCACTGTTTTTCTCAGACCCTTTTCTATTATTCCTAATCATAGCAAATATATTGTCATGAGCATCTGAAATTTTAAAAGCCAAATTCCAAGTCTTCTAAGATAGGAATAGCTATGGCAAAATTTGCCTACCCCTTAAAAAATCCTTGTAAATATTGTTACAGGTGATACAGTAATTCATAGCCACCTATTTAGAAGAAATGGGCCCCCAAACAAAGCACTTTTGAAATAGCATGGGTACTTTTTAAATAAACACAATCAAGAGAAGTAATTTTATAGCCTAATACAATCAATAGCCTCAACAGATTTTCCATTATTCTAATAATGGAATACCTTATGCACACATAATTCAAATTTAATAATTTCTAGTCATTATTTAAATGGGAGTTTTGAGTACATTAACAATTTAGGAGATGTTTGTGTAAAAAGAAATCATTTGGACTTTGCAATTACCCAATCCAAAAGAAAATTATGGGGCACTTCTCTGTTTCCCAGAGGAAATGGAACAGAACAAATGGAAAGGATAAAAATAGAACAGAATGAAAATTTGAAAAACAAAAAAAGGCGAAATCACATAATTTGGCAAAGACAAGTTGCCACAATTCATGCTGCAGCTTTTGCCTAATTTTTGAGCAGAATTTTGCACATGTTGGAGGCCATTTTCTCATTTCTTTAGGGAAACTGAATGGAATTCCTTTGGGCCTCTTGAAACCTTAGGCGATGTGGGAATAAAAGCAAAACCCAGTGTTAATGTCAAAGAGAACAAATTTCTGGGAGAAAGTCCTGGGCCAGGCCAGCACAGTTCCTAGAAAATGTGAAGGACAGCCACTCAGGACGAAACTGTCGGGTTCCTACCGGGCAGCAGAGAGGAAACAGAGTTACATCAGCTCAGATGGTGACAAATGGAATAGTCATTATTCCATGGTCAAGGAGAAACCTACATTTATCTAAGAACAAAAGTAAAAGTTTCCAGGAGTTTTCTCCCCAACGCTATCACACTATTGATAGCCCTTTTGCCTGTTTTTTCCTGTTACGTAGTGCAGTTCATCAAAGACACACCAGACTCAATCCAGAGCTTGTCAACTTGCTTCGTAATAAGCTTGGTTATGAACCATGTTTGGCTATTTATTCTTTGTTAAGTTAATCCTCCCACTTAAAATTTCTGCCTCAACTTGAATTTAAAGGTCTCTTTCCTCTTTCCCTCATCTCCCCTCTTTGCCTGGCGCAGACTAGCTTGAGGGTCCAGAGGGAAAGTGGAGAAGAGTGTTGGATCAGGGAGGCTGAAAATGGAAAAATGTTTGTTTGCCTTTTGCCCTTTCGCTACACAGAGCAA